GGCTATAGCACAGCGGCCTGTGAAGGGTGGGGGCTGGACTGGTGCTTCTTCATCCACCTGAAGGGCAGAGTCCCCAGTTCAAGTCTCCCCTCCAGCGGAAGATTCTCAATGGCTGACAAAGCTTGTAAGTTCAAGGCCTTCAGAGCTGATTTTTTGATCGCTATGATTGCATTACACACGAATATAAACACTGGCTTCCATCATGAATGAGGTCACTGTCTGATGTGTATGTTCCACTTTAGCAGTTTTGAGACTGTGACCTTTTTATAGCTGATACCAGATAGATAGTAATTTAAACAGCCCCTACTTTGTATATTTTAGGACACATCTTTAGAAGTCTTCTCAGTTTGACCTTGTTAAAAATCAGGATGTGTCAAGTGATGACTTTTCATAGTTAAATAGGCAATATGTTTTTCAGTGACACATACTGGCAATACAATCCATCTCCTGGATTCAATGAAACAGACGGTAAACATGCATATATGTATATAATATTTATACGTATATATATTTTTTTTCTGACATATGCATTATAGGAAAATACATGGGTATATCTTGTTTCATGAAATAAATGTATTGCTGAAAATTCTGTCTTTAAATAGAATTTTAATAAATCATATTAGGCCTTTATGGCTTTGTTATTTAAAGAAAATTTAAGGAAGTTTCCTTTGTAAAGAGAATATTAATTCCCTGAGGTTCTATGCTTAAATCTAGGTTTTAATATATCAGATCTGTCTAAATTGGCATTTGTATACGCCCAGGTAATTCCTCCTAGAAATCTGTAAGTGTTTGCATAGGCGATCCTTTCACTTACACAATTACTTTATCTGAGCACAGTCCTCTGGATGTGAATATCTGCACGGTAAGAAGTTACTTTAAACTGTAAATCCAAAACAAGACTCAGTGTTACACAGCAACCCCGTGGCGTTTATTCCCATTATTTCTAGATATCTTCTTAAGGTAAAAGAGCCCTATTCTGTTAATGCCTCCTCATGGGGTCCAGTGGTTCTCAGCCGGGGGCACTTTTGCCCCCCAGGGACATGTGGCAATGTCTGGACACATTTTGGTTGTCGTAACCAGAGGCGGTGCTACTGGCATCTAATGGGTGGAGGCCAGGGATGCTGCTCAACATCCTACAGTGCACAGGACGGCCCCTACAACGAAGAATTATTTTGCTCAAAATGTCAGTGGTGCTGAGGTTGAGAAACCAGATGGAGTCAAATATTAAATGAGATTGACTGATCTGGAGGTGCATTTTCATCATCTGACTTCATTCCATCCTGGTAATATTCACACCTGGTTCGCCTCCTCCACAATACACACGTTATCCATCCTTTCGACAACATGGAGGCTTCACACCATGTGAAAAGGGGTCACCCCTGACCTCTCTCTTTTCTTTACCTCCCAAACCAAAGCCATTAACTAGTTCTACTGCATCTGCTTCCAAAAGACTTGCCAAACCTAACTTTCCTCCATCTCACGGCTGCCATTCTAACCTATGCAACATCGTCTCATCAACATTGGCTCATATATGCAACATCATCTCTCACTAAGCAGCCTCCTAGCTCCCTCTGCTAGGAGACTGCTCTCCTGGTTCCCCCTCTGGCCCCCACCACCCATTCTCCTCACCTTTCAGAGTGATCAGTTTCGATCACTCTTAGAATAAAATCCTCACCCTGCCCTAGAAGTCCTGCCCACTGGCCTTCTCTCATCCCTTGACTATGCTCAATTAGTTCCGACCTCAGGGCCTTTGCACCAGCTATTCTCTTAGACCGGAATGCCTGCATGCCTGGCACCTTCTCTTCATCCAGGTCTCGGCTCAAATGACAACTCCTTAGAGAGCCCTGCTCTGATACCAAGTCAATGTCCTTCATAACTCCTCACTTTATTTTCTTTACAGCACAATCACCATTATGATTATTATCCGTCTCCCTCCAATTAGGACATCAATGCCACCGAGAGATCAGGGACCTTGTATGTTTATCCCCAGTGCCTAGCAGAATTCCTGGCAGAGAGCAGGCACTGAGTAAATATTTGTGGAATAAATATACATGGTATCTCTCTATAATATAAATGAAATGAAGCCCCTTAGACTATTATGATGCCTTTGCCAAACATTTTACATGGAATGCTTCTTAAACATAAGCCATACCCAGACTTCACACTCTATTTCTGTGATTTGGGGATTTAATCTCTTGCTATTTCAGGCTCAAGAATCCAAGGACTAAAATAAGAAAAAAAACGAAGGAACTACAGAGATTCTGAAGAGGAGGCTGGGCCCAAACTAAACTCGGCTGCTGGGAAAGAAAGCCATAATTAGTGCAGAACTTAAAAAAAAAAAAAACCAGAGGCAAGAGGATCCAGCTTCATCTGGGATTGTACCTGCCCTGGCCCTTCTTGCTGAAAAGGCCTATGGATCTGAGTTTTCTAATTAAACACTGGGATGTGTTTGGATAATCAGGCAGAGTGGAAAGACATTTACCATGGGCCTCTTCTATGAAAGGAGATTTGCCTGAACACAGAGAGAGAGAAGCTATGAATGACTCTAGCTGGCAGGAAGCTTGTTGATCTGTCCTGCCTTGAGATCTCTACATGAGATGTTCCATCCGTTCAGAAAACTCTGCCTGGCTGGCCCCAGATCCTTGCCCAGCTGCTCTGCCTACCCTTCAGGCCTCATTGCTGGTGTCACCTTCTCAGAGACCTTCCTGGCCTCACTATCCAAAGTGGCCCAATCACTTTCTTTTCACTCCACTGAATTTTCTTTGTAACTATCACTCACACAACTTCTCTTGATTGCTTACTTCTTTTTATGTAACTGTTGTTTCTCTCTTCCCCACCCTCATTCCGAACTGTTCACTGCTATCGGGCTGTGCTGTCCAATACAGTAACTGCTAGCCACACGTGGCTACTGACCTTTTGAAACGTGGCAAGTCCCAATTACGATGGGCCATTAGGTACATGATACACACTTTACTTCAAAGACAGTACAAAAGCAAAAATCTAAAAATTTTCAATTATTATTCATGATTATATGTTATGATGATAATATTTTAGATATGCGGGATTGACAAAGATATAATTTTAAAATTACTTTCACCTGTTTCACTTTTTTTTTTTTAACGCAACTACTAGAACATTTCAAATTGCATATGTGGCTCGCGTTATATTTCTATTGGCCGGTGCTGGCCTAGAGAGTGCCTGGCCCATAGTAGACACTCAATAAATATCTGAATGAATAAATACATTCTAACCACTACTCTGAAGATATCTACTGCTGTCCATTACAATTAGTCCCATTACAATGGTCTTTATTCAGTTTCAAAAGAATAAAACTCTGGCCTTTTTTTTTTTTTTTTTTTTACCGGTAGCTTGGCAGCTCTCAACAGCTCAGCTCACACCCCAAAACACAGTCGTCAATCATTAGGAAAAACCCAGAACTGGAAACAGATTCCTGCTAAAAAGGGAGGCTAGCTCCAGATCGCTTTCAGATATAAACTAAAAGGAGTCAATGCAATAGACAGCGGAAGCTATAAAAAGATTCACATAAGTTCAGACAAACAGTAGGGGCCATTTAACAACAGTTCTATGGGTAACAAATTCACCGAAGAGAAAACCCTTATCTAGATGGGAAGGCAGAGAGAGCTACCCCTACACCTGGTACTGAATGCCTTACTCCGGCAAACAAAGAAATGTCATTTCCCAAATTAAAAAGTTACACCACCCCAGGGAA